TGAGGAGGATAATTATTAGTGATTGTGCTCAGTCTCATTCATATGTTGGATATTTCTTTATTCCAGGGTTATCTGTCCTCGCTGAGCATGAAAGCATTCACCTACATCAACCTGGACGGCATTGTGACAGGTATTTGCTGCCATGGATGCAGACTTCTTGTACCCCTGGGGCGATCGTGGCTCAAGAGTTGGGAGTTCGCCTTGTAATCGGAAGGTTGCCGGTTCGAGCCCGGCTTGGACAGTCTTGGTCGTTGTGTCCTTGGGCAAGACACTTCACCCGTTGCCTACTGGTGGTGGTCAGAGGGCCCGGTGCGCAGCCGGCAGCCTGCTTGTCAGCCCCAGTGCTTGCAATAGGCATATAGTCCTATCCCGAATGACATGAACGCTCAAACTTTCAACCACACAAGACCGCATATTAGTAGGATAGTCCTAGAGTCAGCTGATATTAAGAACAAGATCCGGGCCATCAACACGTACGCCCTGCCCGTGATCAGGTACCCTGCTGGGGTAATAGGCTGGCCAAAGGAGGAGATAGAAGCCACTGACATAAAGACAAGAAAGCTCCTTACCATGCATGGAGGGTTTCACCCCAAGTCCTGAGGTCCAACTGACCGAGTGCTCAGTGAATACCTCAGGCAGCAGAAACCCAAGAAAGAGGAAGGAGACGAGGAACCATCATGGAAGGACAGGCCCCTGCACGGTATGTACCACCGGCAGATAGAGGAGGTGGCTGATATCCAGAAATCCTACCAGTGGCTGGACAAAGCTGGACTGAAAGACAGCACAGAGGCACTAATCATGCGCCAGAACAGTCTGAGACATCCAGAGTGGCACAAGGCAAGACCAGTGCAGCGTGTAAAGATGCCAGACACCAGCATGCAGGCAAATGCTAAGGAGGCATCATGGCGTACCGTGCGCAGGTAAAAACGTGCGACCGACCGCTCAGGTGAGGTAGTTATGGCGTGGTGTTGGAGTGAGAGTGGTTTGGAGCCACAATCTTAAAGCAGGTAGTTAGCAGAAGCCGAGTTGTCGAGTGGAATGAGTGGGTCTGGTGGAGTGAAAGGGAGAACGACCCTACTGAGGTAGACCAATCCCAGCACTACTGGACTGAACGAGAGCGAGAAGATGGCTGCACTCAGACTAGCAAATCACGCAAGGGGATGACGCTACTTCACAAAAGGCGTAATCACACTGGCTATTGTATCTTTAAGGCTCACATGCGATCATTTCTCCGAGAAAGACTGCCTTGTCAGTCCAGAGACAAACTTATAAATTGTTTATAAATAATGCCAGAATTACTCAAGGATACGGGTACCTCTTAGGGTTGGACCAGCTGTCGCAACGGGGTATTAAACATTTGACCTGTCAGACTAAGCCTGACATGCATGCAGTTATGAAAAGTATCATAATAATACTGTTCAAAGTAACGTTATACTGTATCAGTATTATTACTTGTCTTTTACCTCAACCGAAGGTGAGTAAATGACGCGAGCTAAGATCTCTTGTGCGACTAATCCATATACAAGTAAACGTGGGATAGTCAACAATTGGTGCGTAGGTACTATTCACTGTGGCAAAACATCGTGACATAGTGTGGAACAAGAGCAGCCAAACTAGACGCGTAGTCTTGATCTCGCATGTAGATCGGTTCCTGCGCAATACTCGGAAAAGGAAACGGAGAGGTAGTGGGCAGAATGACCGGGGCTGCATGAGAAAGTTCTCGAAGATGGGTGGGGGATTACTGCAAGATAACGAGATGCCCCGCTGCAATGCACGGACACACTAGTCGCGAAGCTGCAACAAAACTCACCACACCGTTCTAGGCGATTGCGCTTTGCACAAGATTCCCGGGAGATATCTCGGAGTTCTCTGGGCCAAGATGCGCTAGTATACCTTGCTGATAGCCAACCACCGTAACCGAGCTTCGTAGCTGTGTGTGTGTGTGTGTGGTGTGTGTGTGTGTGTGTGTGCGTGTGCTGCGTGGCTGCTGAATGTGCAAAAATAGGTTTAAATGATTAAACAAATTTCTTCAGTCAGAGAATGTGCATATAATTAATTTTTGCTTGATGCATAAAGTTAAAAGATTAAAACTATAAAACAAGTTTTAAAAAAGAGACTTTTCCATTTGATTACATTTTGTATGATGGATTATGCAGAAAAAGTAGAATTGGGCTGAAAGATCTATCGCTTTATCACCTATTCAGGTTGTAAATCGTGTTTTTAAAAAGTAACTAAGTAATTAATTACTTTTGAAAATAAGTAATCAGTAAAGTAACGGGATTACTTTTTTGGGGAAGTAATCAGTAATTAGTTACTGATTACTTTTTTCAAGTAACTTGACCAACACTGCTTATGTTTCAGGATAACTAAATATTAGTGGTCTTGTTATTCTAGGTCAGAATGGGTTTAAAGTAGCAGCCAGCCCGTTGCTGCACAGCCTGGTCCAAAACGCTCTGAAAGAGGTAACTCCACAGCTGATCTCTTCTGCAGAAATAATTCTGTTGGTCAGTTTTATTTGTAAAATAAAACAAGAGTTTAATCAAAGTATTTGTTTTCTTCTTAGGTGAACTATGACAAGGACACGTCTCTTCTTTCTCAGTTTGGAAAGAACAACTGGGAGTCTGCTATGTGAGTCCATCTAATTAAAGATAACAAAGTATAGCCAGTGATGATTATCACAGCCTTCTTGTTTGAAAGTAGGCTGTCATTCTCACTCTTCTTTTTTGCGTTTGATTTTGAAGTCTGGAGCCTCTGAGGATGGACAGTGCTGCGTATCCTTTCCTCGCCTTCTCCGGCATTCCCTCAGTCGCTTTCAGATTCCACTCTGGAAGTTCAGTGAGTGAATTCTTCTGTACTACAAGTTCTTAAATAGTTTCTGAACTCTTTTAACTAATGCCAACTTTGTAGATCTGAGAGTAATTCTTAAGACATCCTGTGTGCCTCCTCAGGACTACCCGTACTTTGGCACAATCCTGGACACCCGAGAAAACCTGAACTCTGTCACAGCCAGCCAGGTTCCTCAGCTGGCTGTGAGAGCGGGCCAGTTTGCAGGTCACATAGCGCTGAGGCTGGTCCATGACCACCTGCTGCAGATGGACCTGAAGAAGTACAACCAGCTCATACGCAGCCACGTGGTTCAGATTAATGCAAGGGTCAAGGCTGTTCAGAGGGTGAGTGCTCACCAGTGTCCTTGTAAATGAAGATAGTATTTACCTTGTTGAGAGCAGGGCTGCAGAAATCAGGAGCAACTTGACTGATGTCGTGTTTTTCATCACTCAACTTAAAAATGATCAGTTTTGAATCAGTTTGTTCTGCCTGGTTACTCCTCTCATCATAGAAGACAAAGCTGTGGTCAGGTTTTGAATGTCCAGCTTACTAACTTGAGTTTGAGGGAGAAAAGTCATCCCTGCATGGTTGTGTGCTTGCAGATGCAGCCCCAGCTGTTGCCCAAAGCTCTGACAGTGCGGTGGTTGATCATGGCCTCTGGCTCCTACGGCCGTGCCTCCAGCGCGCTGGCAGCCGACATCCAGAACAGCGACCTGGAGGACATCGAGATGTGCCGCGTGATCAATGACCGCATCATGACGGTAAGGGGAAAAAACTCAGCCCATCAAGTTTAGTTGATTTCACACGCTGCCACCTCTGCTTTTGATTAGCTGAAATTACAACTTTAGTGTTGGTTTAACTGACCTTTGGATTGTATATTAAGTGGGATACATCACATTTTAATCACAGTCAAGTGTAATAGTTGATGTAGGTAGTCTTTAGTTGCTGCTTTCTGCTTTTCAAAGGACGGGACTGTCCAATAAATTTTTTGATAACGTTGGTTTTTATCCAGCTCTTTCATGATGTCCGTCTTCTTGCTATAGGTGGAAAGGAACTTCCTGTCACCCTACGTTTCTCCCAGAGACGGCCCCTTCCGTCACATCCTGCTGGGCTCTGGTCCCCACACCCTCAAAGCTCTGACCAACCACCTTGACTCTTTGACGACTGCCAACCCCGACGCAGACGCCGAGCTGTTCTGCAACCAGTTTGCCCAGGCGACCTGGACCATTCAGACCTGTGCCAACTCCCTAGCAGGGGACATCTGGTCTCTGGATAATGAAATCTAGAAAAGTCCTTTGCCCTCCCTTGTTCATGGTTTGGCCCTCTTATTACAACTGGCAGTGCTGTTGTGATTAATCACCACGTTTTCAGTGGATATCTACAAAGTCATCATATTGTTTTCACAATGTTCATTTGTTAAAAGCGCCGTATGATGACAATAAGTCAATGACTTTCTATAGTTTACCATGAGGAAAACTGTTTTTTTTTGTTCTATTGCTGCTGCGGAGTTCAAACCTGAGCTTTTTTTTATCACTAGCTAAAATATCTCATACTGTGATAGATACAGAAATTTCAGATTGATTTTTACAGAAGCACCAGTGTATAAAGATTTGGAATAATCAGCTGCATTAAAAACAAAAACAACAACAAAAAAACAAAACAACGCAAAGCCCTGACTATATGCATGAATTTAATAAAGTGATCTGAATCAAATACGAAACACATTTCCTGGCATTGGAGCTAATCTGTGCAGACCTGTCAAAGCAGGGGAGAAGGTCCTCAACCATGTGTCACTGAAACAGAAACCACGTGTTTATTTATTGAGTTATTTATTTATCAGTGGCAGGGTTCACTATAAATAGTTTTTAATCACCTTTCATATAAAAGTGTAATTATCAGGAGCAGTAATTTCCAAAATGTTAATAACAGTAGGTAGTTTTTTTTAATATTATGGTGATAGTGTTTCCCATAATGTGTACATTCAGTACAAAACTTTGTTTTCGCACACACGCAATGCGCCTGTTCAACTGAAGAAATTATTTGATTGGTTGAGTAATGTCACGTGGGATGGCTTATAACGTACGCGATTAACCCGTTGCTTCCTGTGTACGTCGAGTACCGTAAACACAAAAGAAAAAGCTGCGCACATTAAAAATAACCTTACCGTAAGTACGTGGAAAGCTGCGCAGAGTAAAATATAAACGGTCTGGTTCCACACAGAACGTCATCTGGGTCCAGATCCGGACCGCGATCCGCCCATTGCCTACTCAAGGGTTAGAATAAACAATGTACATAAAAATATTGTCGTTAGAAAAAATTAGAGGAAGTATGTTACCACTGAGCGGTGACTCCAAACTCGTGATCTCGCACTTTCACGCCCATTTCTTTCCCAACTGCGCTAAAGATCTTCCTGCCCAGAGAATTGCGTTCCCCGATTTATGATGCTGACATCGGGGACAGAGAGGCAACAGTCTGACACAGTAAGTTCGCCGTGCAACACATCAGAGAGAATTTAGATAAGGATAAACGTAAAAGTGTTGTGCATTTGTTTCATTTGCTCATTAATTTGGGAAAACACACTCTGGTGTAGTGTAGTCTGTGTCGTGGAAAGAGCATTATGTGGCTGTTTGATCACGACTATGTATTAATCAGATTAGTTTTCAGAGCTATATTTCTCACTGTGTAAGACACGGTCTGAGTGACTACAACGACTCTACGTGGAAACAACATCAACACACGTCCGTGTGCTACACAGTTTCTGCAGTCGCAGCGCGAATTGTTTTGACCTGAGAGCCGAGGTCGAGGTTTCAACTACTGTTTGCTGAGCAGAAAAAGTTTTATTTATTATTATTTTTGTTGTTGTTGTGCTATTCCTTTCGTAATTTCCCCTTAAATGGCCCACATGTCACTGCAGTATGAATGTTGCAGGGTTTTTTTCAGCTTCCACCCCCCTGTATTTTAACGACAAGAGGTGCATTTTACGCCCTCCAGTTTAGACTCATTGTCCACTTTAGTCACATGCGTTGTCTGCTAACTTTGAATCCACAGCAGAATTCTGCATGTGCTTCCTCTATGACAGTCCTCAGCCAGCAGTGGAAAGCCTCTAAGTGGCTCTGCAGTATCACATATGAGTTAATGAAAAACAATCCTGAGTGATCAGAAACTCTCTTCTGTAATCTTGTCGCGGGTGTAGTGTTTATGTGTTTGACATTATGTGCACGTTTAACAGAAATAATATTTCTTCTGATAATGCACATACCTGTAGATATGATCAGAACTGTACAGGGAAGCATTACTACATAAGACCCCAGACCCATTTTTACTTTCAAGAAAACTATGGGAGAGTCAGTGTTAAAACTTTAACAGAAACGTTCCTCAACGTGTAAAGAGGTTTCTTATGGGCTAAAGAGATTCTTATGATTAGCTTGTATAGATTCTGTCCCATAGCTGAAGCTTCTTATACAACTTGCCTTTGACTTCTTAACAGTGGAGGAAATAATTATTTGATTTGTGATGAATCTGTAAGGTTACCCACTTCCAAAGAGAAGAACAGTCTGTACTTGTTATGGTATTTTCATTTTAATGAAAAGAGACACAACCACAAATCCACAAAAAACACATTGCATAAAAGTTATAAATTTAGGACACTGGCCTTTTGCTCCCCTGCCAGCTCTGCCTTTAGGATAAGAAGAATCGGACCAATGACGAGACATGGGATATATTCTTTGGATGTTCATGCAAGTAAAAAGCAGCAACCCACTGCTCGCACTGTGAGGGATTTAAGTTGAATAAAAAGTTACATTCACGCACCACCTGCCTTTAAGTCTCTTTGGAGGATAAAATGCCTGTCATTTAAAGACTTAAACTTGGCTGGAGTAGTCTAACTTTTTGGTTTATCTTCTCAGAATCCTCTGAAGCAGCCATGGACCAAGCAAGATCAGCGATGTCCCAAATTGTAAGTATTCAGTGAGTGTTATAAGATAAATCTTAAAATAACAAGCTTAGTATTAAGCTTGAATCCCTCCCTTTATTTGTTTATTTTTCCATTTCCACCTCTTAACTGAAAGGTTACTTCAAATATACATTTCACTGTGCAGTATTTCCTTTGGCACAGGGACACTCTACCAAAATCCAATTCACAAACCAAGACACTTTTCTCTTGGGGGATAACACAAACTAAATCCAAATGGAAAATCTGAATCTAACTTACCACCTACCGCATGAAGCGAATCACTAGCCTGCTAGTGCACTGCACTGAAACTGCTCTGGTGTAATGACTGACCTGCTTAGAGGAACTGTCGAGGCCGAACACAAGAACTTCAGTTTTTGGCACTGAGATGGAGGAAATTTGAAGACTTTCAATCAGTAATGACAGTGAAACGTTCACTGAGGCAGGAGGGACTGTTGAGGCTTTTGGATTAACAGAAAAGTAAAACGGTGTATCGTCAGCATAGCAGTGGTATGAAATGCCTTTGAAACTGTTTAATCGAAGACTCGTGGTAACATATATTAAGAAAACAGAACTGGATCAGTGGGCATGCTGTCTATGATTCCCACCCAGGTTCTATATTCTTTGGTAGTTACTGAAATAATATGTTTTGCTTACCCTGACCTTTTCTGTTTCTGTTTTGTTAGTTTAACAATGAACCACACTCCTACACACGATTCAACTTGCCTGATAATATGGAAGGTGACACCAGCCAGGTGGAGATGATACAGTCGTCTGACATGAATGAGGAGGTTGGAGAGAATGGCGACGAAGACCACCTTAGTCACAAGTCAAACCGCCAACCACACGTGGCTCAAAACTTTGAATGTACAACCAAGAACCTCTGCTTCATGGCAGCTGCTATCGTCTTCACATTTGTCATTGGTAAGAGAGGGAGAAAGGCGTATTTGGCATATTTCTGTTTGTCTGAGGAGATACTTACGCCTAGAAAGTTACATTTTTTTTTAAACATTTTCCATGTGTGTGTGAAAACGTACAAAGTATAATTTTATCATCTGAAAAACATAGCCCAGCTTTGACCTTGCATTCATCTGAGCAACAATTTGACAGTTTATAGCCATGAATTTAGTCTGGAGGTGTAAGCGCTGATAGTGTACAAACTTTAGGTCTCTTGGTCCCTCACTGGTATTTCAAAATGCTGACTCTGTGCTATGGTCTGGTCTTGGGTGTGTTCCCTTTCCTTATTAGTAATTGTTTCCTCATTTTAAATGACTACCACGTTCAGGCTATTTGACTGGCTACCTGGTTCATAAGAATAAGGATCTGAATTGCTCCTGTGCACCTTCTGAAGATGATATTACCCATGAGACTGGTGCTGTCCCTTTCATGGACTGGGATGATGTGAGAAAACTGCTTGGTGATAAACTAAATACATCCAACTTAGAGATTGCACTAAGGTGAATAGAAACCCCACACATTGCATGTACAGTGCTGTACAAATTTTATGTGCATTGCAGTTTTAAAAGAGAATAACTGGGCCCTGTTTTCTTCAATCCATTTGTTTTCCCTGTGTTCGTTCACAGTCAGCTGAACAGCAGCAACCACCGGGCTGGTTCTCCTGGTGATGAAGATCTGGGGAACAAGGTGATAAAAAAGTTTAAGGAGTACGGCATGAAGACCTGGACTGATGAGCACTTTGTCAAGGTTCAGGACCCCCCAGCATCTGGATACAACAGAATAGTTTTCAAGAACGGATCAGAGGAACATCCAACGGGTTTCCTGTCCTACAGCGCCAGTGGAACAGCAAGGGTAATCAGAAGGCTAAATTATGAGTAGGAAAAATGTACAGTGACACTTGCAGTGACATTTCAGTTTCTGATGGCTCCAGGGTGCAGTGCTGTATGCCCATTATGGACAGGAAGAGGACTTCCAACAGCTGAAGAACATGAACATCAACATGAATAACAGGGTGATGCTGATCAGAGCTGGAAGGATCAGCTTTGCTGAGAAGGTGGGATGCTCAAAAAGATGCAAAAGTTGTATTAGTAAACTATTCAAACAGGAATTATCTTTCCTGGGGTGACTTGGGTAATATCTGTGCGTGTTGTAATTCCTTGCAAATCTGTCATGTCCCTAAATTGCAATTTGAAAATGTCAAAATATCAAACAGAAGTTTTAGTCCAGTTTAAATCTGGTTTTGTTTTTGTTTTTTGTGTGTGTGTAAAAAGCTTTGAGTTCTCTACACTTTTCTTCATCCTCTTTCCTGCATGAGGCTGTGATGAAATAAAGCTTGGAGAACATTTTGTGCATAAATTCAGGAGAGACTGTTTTGATAAATGGCACAGATTCACACATAGAAGTGACATGTTTAAATCTATCAGATGACCAGGCTTAATATGTGGCAGCTGATGTGACAGGGTAGGCAATAGGGTACTTTGTAAATCTGAGGTCATACTAGTGATACCTGTTTAGTGATTGTGGGACTTAAGTTTACTTCTTTCCAAAAAGATGGATGGATTCATGCAAAAATCTTTACTGTTGGTGAACTTAATTTTCCATTGCCTTGTTTCTCTGCTTATAGGTAGCCAATGCAGCCAAAGTGAACGCTTCTGCTGTGCTGATCTACCCAGACCCCATTGATTACCCTATTGGAAATGATACTTCACTCTTTGGACATGTGAGTGAGGGCAGTTTTAAAATGTACTGGAATAAAACCCACTGAAGTGTTCTACGTGCTTAGTTTGTTTGATGTTCTCAAGATTCAAAGAATTGGAATGCAGTGGGAGCTTTTCTGGAGTTTTGAGCAAGTGAGGGTGCTACCAAACAAATCATAACTCCCTGGCAATTGTTTGATTCCTGGTCATACAGTATTGCTGGTAGGTTCTGTAGAAGCATAGACAAAAAGACAGACAGGGAATATGAAGACTGATTTGACATGTATTACAAACTCTAAAGTCTGTAAACCTAATACTGTTGCTAAGAGGAAGCAATTGCACTGCATTGTGTTTTTCTTCTGATTCCCACAGGTCCACATGGGCTCTGGGGATCCCTACACCCCAGGCTTCCCTTCCTTCAACCACACCCAGTTTCCACCTGTGCAGTCTTCAGGCCTGCCACATATTTTGGCTCAGACTATCACAACAGGCATGGGAACCAAAATTCTGAGGTAAGGCTCACAAACATCATACTGGTATCAGAAAGATTGTCGAAGCTTGTAATAAAAAGGGCATCAATAAAGAGTTGACATTTGTCTGCATCCCACAGGCAGCTCGGGGGTAGAACTCAGCCAAATGGTTGGGAGGGCATCAATAGACTCGGAGATGAGAGCGATGTTATTACTGTGGAAGTCAACAATGTCCTTACTGAGAAAAGGATAAATAATGTCTTTGGGGTCATCAAAGGCTTTGTGGATGCAGGTACAGCAAAGATGAATAATGAGAGAGATCCTGTGATCAGGAAATATGGAAACGATGTGAGTGATGAATGTCCTGTGACCGTCTGCAGATCGATACGTGGTCATTGGGGCCCAGAGGGATGCGTGGGGCCCGGGCTTTGCAGCATCAAGCGTGGGCACCAGCGTCCTCGTAGAGCTGGCGCGTTCCATCTCTGACATGGTGGAGAACGGTGAGCACCTGTTGATACTTTATACGTGCTTCTCTTAGGCACTATCACGGGAAAGCATATCATTCATTTTCATTGCTATGCAAAGGATACCCAGTTTAATGTATCAGTGAAGCCAGATGGCACGCACCAATTAGTTGAACGACAGGAATGTCTTAAAGCCATAAAGACCTGGCTCTAACTTCCTGCTTCTAAATGAAAACCAAGGCCATCGTACTTGGTCCTAACAATTGCATTGTCTTGGAATGAAATAAAACTTTTAGATATCTTGGGGTTGTTTTTGACCAGGGTGTGTCTTCAGTTGTTTCAAAGTGCTGGACTGAGAATACTGACAGGGACTAGAAAGAGAAAACATTTCGCCGATACTGTCTTTGCTTCACAGGCTTCATGTTAAATCCCGAATCTTATTCAAAAACCTTAACATTCTCAAAAAAGGTCTTGAATAATCAGGCCTCATCTTATCTTAAAGACCTCACAGTATGTAATTACCCAGGCTGAGTACTTGACTCTCAGTCTGAAGGCCTACTTGTGGTTCTCACAATATTTAAAAGGAGAACGGGGGGGAAGAGCCTTTAGCTTTCAGGGCGCTCTTCTTTGGAACCAGCTCCCAGGTGGATTTGGGAGACTGACACTTTTAAGATTAGGCTTTAAACTTTCCTTTTTGCTACAGCTTATAGTTATGGCTGGATCAGGTGATCCTGAATCCTCCCTTAGTTATGGTGCTGTGGGCCTCCCATGATGCACTGAGTGCTTCTTTACCCACCTCTTTTTCTTCCTGATTTTTCTTGCTGTTAAGAGGGAGTTTTTATTTTCCACTGTCACCAAGTGCTTCAAGTCTGATTGTTGGCGTGTTCTCTGTTTTACCTCTTTAGCTTGCAATTTGGCTGTATATAGATAAAACTGAATTGGGGAAAAAAACCAAATGAATACGTAACAGTAATGAAAATGATGTAAACTTCACATCAGACGCTAAAGTTTGTCACTGAGCAGCTAAAAAACGCGCCGGCTTCATTAGTTTTATTAAATGTGTTTCCACTTTGTCAGATGGATTCAAACCGAGGAGGAGCATGGTGTTTGCCAGTTGGAGTGCGGGAGAGTATGGGAGTGTTGGCGCCACCGAGTGGTTGGAGGTGAGAAATGCAAGGCAAAACTGCATTAATAATGAGTGTACTCTGTTCATGTAAATACATGCTATAATAGCTTAATTTTTCATGTCATATATTCAACAAAGTGATGGAAAAATTCCTCAGAGATTTTGGTTCATATTGACACAATAGCATCAAGCATTTGCTGCACATTTGTCAGTTTCATCTCACATCTGGTTCATGTCTACATGCATAAATTGGCTTATTAGAGAGCAAACATTTGAAAAGATGCACCTAACAAAGTGGCTGAGTATAAATTTATTTTGGCTATTTCTTTGTTCCAGGGTTATTTGTCCTCTCTGAGCATGAAAGCAGTCGCCTACATCAACCTGGACGGCATTGTGACAGGTATTTGCTGGATGGAGACTTTTTATACCTCTTTAGTGTTCAGGTTTCCTCTTATGCATCTTCTTAAAAGACTAAATTAGGCGACATCATGAAAACTAAACATTAGGGTTGGGTTTTTTTTTTTCAGGTCAGAATGGATTTAAAGTAGCAGCCAGTCCGTTGCTGCACAGCCTGATCCAAAACACACTGAAAGAGGTAACATCACATCTGATCTCTTCAGTAGAGACCACTAAGATGTAAATGAAATAAATGTGTTTTATTTGTTTTATCAATTAAACATAAAATTTCCCATTAATTCCCAGTTAACCACAAATTCTACTAACATCCCAGCTGCACTGCAAATCCTTACACCCTGTTTTAGAGACACTGCGATCAATTCACCCGTGAACCAAGCACCACAAACAGCTTGGGTCTCAGCACAGCTGGGAATAAGTGCTGTGTGTCACCTGTAATGGATTTGCAGAGGGAAGTGGCACAAACCAAAAAAAAAAAGTGAAGAAAGAAGTTGGACCGCTCTCACAGGACTCCCTCACAATCTTTTACAACGGCCTGCACGACCAGGCGGTGTAACTAAAACAAAACTACAAGTAAATCAAAAGAAAAAAGGACAGTAGAGACACCCCAACAAACACAAAGTTTTCAATTAAACTTGCAACACAATAAAAACATCCAAAACACCAAATATGCCTACGGCACTGATCAATTTCCCCACTCAATTTCATCAAGATCTAGGTCTTGATGAAGTCTTACTACAAATCCTACCCACTCACACCAGAGTGAGTTAATCATCTGCTGAAATTCCCACTTTCTTTTTAAAGCTCCTTTGCCAAACACACAACAGAAGGCATCAAACTTCCAGGTGGCACTTATTACAAGTAGAAATAATTCTTCTGGTTAGTTTTGGTTTGTAAAATTTAGTATTGGTTTTCTTCTCAGCTGAATAACGACAAGAACCAGTCTCTTCTTTCTCAGTTTGGAAAGAACAACTGGGAGTCTGCTATGTGAGTCCGTTTAATTAAAGATAACAAAGTATAGCCAGTGATGATTATCACAGCCTTCTTGTTTGAAAGTAGGCTGTCATTCTCACTCTTCTTTTTTGCCTTTGATTTTGAAGTCTGGAGCCTCTGAGGATGGACAGTGCTGCGTATCCTTTCCTCGCCTTCTCCGGCATTCCCTCAGTCGCTTTCAGATTCCACTCTGGAAGTTCAGTGAGTGAATTCTTCTGTACTACAAGTTCTTAAATAGTTTCTGAACTCTTTTAACTAATGCCAACTTTGTAGATCTGAGAGTAATTCTTAAA